CCCCCGTCTTCCCCATCATCTTGTCTGCTTTCTCAGGAGGCATCCCTGCACAGACGTAGCGGGCCCCTAGCACCGCACCTGGAGAACAGGCTGTGAAGTGTCCCTGTGTACAATGGCTGCTGGGGCTTCTGTGCTCCGAGTCCGAAAAGCGAGACAGAGGGAGGAACCCTGCGTCCTCGCTGGATCCCCGCTGCCTCTAAGAGCTCCAGAAGGCTGTTTAAGAAATAGACTCTCTAGAACAGAGGCCAGCAGAGATTTTATGAAAAGAGGCGGACAGAATAGGTAGTAAATATTTTCAGGCTTTCTGGGCCACATACACTGTGCCACATATTTTCTTTCTTTTTTTAAAGAATCCTTTAAAAATGTAAGAGCCACTCTTAGCTGGCAGGCCATAAAACACAGGCCTGCAGGCCGTAGTCGGCCCAATCCCGACTAGAACACCCTAGAACACTCTAGAACACTCTAGACACCCTGTGTCTAGAACACCCTAGAACACTCTAGAACACCACAATGCCCTCTTCCATCTGCTCAGCAGTAGCCTCCTCCCCATGGAAGGACCCTGGCATCCCCCTGAGCTGCCCTGAGCTGGTGTCTCCAGCCGAGGCTTTGCAGAAGGGACCACAGCAGGGAGAGTCACCCTTGGGGTTCGGGCTACGGGCGGCCCCACGGAGCCCCCTTTGCCCAGTGACCGGTCTGGTACTTTAAACAAATATGGGATATTGGTTTCAGCCCTGCTCATGTGTCCTGGGGGTGAATTAAGCCTCAGTGTCCCCCAGTGAGGTAGGTACATACTGTCAGTCTCATCCCACACCCACAGATGCTGAAGTTCAAGAGCAGAACTGACCTTCCTACTGCCTCCCACAGCTACGCGTCAGAATTTAAAAGAAAGCTGAAGAGTCTCGGCTTTACGTTTTCTAAGAACGTGATCAAGGAGTTTTCGGTCCCACCCGAGCTGTGATTCGGCCCCAAAGAGAGCAAGAATCCGTGAGAGAATACGGTCAGCCGCACAGAGCTGCTTTCCAGACCCCGTGACGCTCTCGAAAACAGAACTCAGTCAAGCACTCAAAGCTCAGCCGAGCACTCAAAGCTACGGGCCCAGGTGGAGCAGGCCTCTGGCCTCTCTGCCCTGCCGACAAGTCTCTTCGAACTAAAAATAAAGTTTATAAAAGTAAATTATCTCATTTTTATAACTTAAGTGCATCAAGCATTTCCTTAAATATAGTTCACACGGAAAATAAAGTTACTTTTTCTGTACAGTTGGTGCCTGTCATAATTAGGAATAAACTTTGATGATAAAGTATGGAAGGTTACACACTCACACACACATCTATCTGTCCGTCTGTCTGTCTATGGGTATATGGATGGGCAGACGTACGCACCTCTTGACAAGAGCTTCCCCAAAACGGTGGGAAGTTGTTGGAGTCTCTAGGTACCTAGTTTGCATGAGAATGTCTATATTCAAAGTCCCTGTCCTTAATGAGAAACACGTCTTCATACCTAAGCTAAGACTCTTATTGGAAACATGAAGCTACGCGATCATTGTATATTCAGTCTTTGGAAATGCCGAGCTACATCAGATCGTCATACAACAGCATCCCCGACAGAACTCCCTCCCCACCCCACCTCTTCCCTGGCCTCCCCCTCTCTACAGCCGGCCAACCCCTCACATGGTAGGGTTGGTCCGTGTGGGAGCCCAGCCACAGAACTCGAGGGGAAGACTCAAGAGGTAAAGTAAGAATTCTGCATCGAGTACAGGTGGTCAATGGGGTTTCCCACTCTGGACTGCAGGGGCCCAGCTTCTGAGGTTGCTAGGAAACAGTCACCCAGGTTACTGAGGGAGGTGTCGTCACTATCCAGGTCGTGGAAAAGGGGCTCCGCACCTGAAATGAAGATGAAACGGTCATGAGGGTCCAGAAGCAGGGACTCCCTTCGGCGCTGGGAAGCGTAGCGGATTGCAGCGAATATGAGCTGAGCACAGCCGCCCCCCCCCCCCCCCCCC